AGTCAAGATTTCGTCTTACTGCCGTTTCTCCTCCATTTCTACACACCAATGCTTAAATCTAGAAAAAAAAACGCACACTAAATGTAAATAGATAATACCTTAATTGACCGTATGGTCCACCTCTGGCAGCAATAGCAAGAGGCTTACCATGTACAACACATCTGAAAATTTAGGTGGTTTTCGTCCCCTTTCCTACAAACAGTACCATTCAGTAAATCCTAAAATAACAAATGAAAATTCACACAGTCATTGAGACAATACTTAAATGGGCTGACAATACGGAGTGCCTTGTTGTCTCTTTCTTTGACTCCAATACATTTTCTCAGACTTTCGAAACTTACATTTTACAACTAAATTGTTTATTGGCTCACTTCTAGTTTTTACCCGTTCCAGTCCTGTTGTTGCTCATGTCGCTACCATTGTTCTGACCACTTTCTTGAAGTTCACTTATGGTTCACTCGCACTTTGCCACATTTATGGGCCTCACTGGACAATACTTCACTCCCTAAGTTGCTTTGTCACCTCGGATTTACAGCTTGTTTCACAATACCAGGTCTTACACTTAGCTGGCAACTCATCTCCTACAAGTCGGTTCATACAGGCTAACATTCACATTGTCCTAACATACCCATACAAGTATGTAATATTTTCGGTGACACGCTGACCTTGGTTCCTACCATTAGAATTTAGGCGAGCGTAAACTTAATTCTCTCTCCCTCGCCCATTCTCTTTCAGACCTATGAGTTCAAACTTTCTCCTGCCTTTCCTCATTCACTCCTTGCCGAAACCGATTGAAAGTTACACATTTACAAGTCTTCTCTGTTATCCCTTTTTCAAGTATTCCCATACAAAGGCGCGCAGGCCTACATAGAAAGTTGGTATTCACACAGCCATCACCCTAGTGCATCAATTACCGAGCAACTCTTCCCATGCACAATTCCTCAAATTCCGGATAATTTAACTGCCTGGCCTCTTGATACCAAGAAATTCAACTGGATTCATTCGTTCTTACTACAAATTTATCACCACTTCCCTCTTGACCAGTATGCCACTATACTAGCACTAGTCCACACTGTCCAAGTAAGGCTTAAGGTGGCCCAAGTTAAACAAATCTGATCTCCTTCTGGCAGAATCGGAATGTAGCCGCATTCAAAGTAAAGCCTGCCCTCGCCAATTTATTTAGAACAATTTCCAAGTGCCTGAGATGCTCCCCGAAACTTTTAGAAAATACCAAGACATCGTCCACGTAAAACACAACGAACTCATCAGTCTCACCACCAAAGGCCAATTTCAGGGCTCTGACAAAAGCGGATAGTGAATTTCGGAACCCGTACGGCGTGCGCATGTACTGGTACACAGTAGAACCGAACAAGAATGCAGTGTACTTCCGGGAGTCTCTGTGCAGCGGAATTTGTAAATACGCGGAGGTCAAATCTAGGGTGGTCATGAACTGCTTTCCTTCAAATTTTTGCAGTAACTCTTGTAAAGGTGGGGTGCGCTCTCTATCCAGGACGGTATGCTGGTTCACCTTCCTGGCATCCACACAAATCCTAATTTTCTTATTTCCCTTATGAACCACAGACAAAGGGTTAAGGAAGGGTGAATTACTAAATTCTAAAATGCCATCCTGCAGCATTTGCTTAATCTGGTCTCGAACGGCGGGGCGGACAGCAAAGGGGATGGGGCGAGAATATCCTACTATGGGTTTATCTTCGTCTACCTGAAATCTATACTCAAAAATGTTACACCTGCCAGGTCTGACGGTGAAACATTTCATATAACTACTCAATAACTCAATCAAACATTCTTTCTGGGACACATTCATATGGTCATTCGTGTCGATTAGAGCACACAAATCCGCCTTCTTCAACGAGCGTGAGTCATGGAGGTCGAGTTCTGACGTTTGGATAGGGGTGGGTTGGAGCAGGTTACTCTCTGTTCTTCTTACATTAACTTCTTTAAGGCCAGCCGTTTCTTCTTCGCATAAGCTCTCAACCAGGCTGCCATAAATCTCCCTCGGACACTCTTCTTCATGCACTTCTCCATCTACTAATAACTCTTGGTCGCCCGCGGCGCCATTTAACAGGGTCCTCTGCCCTACATAACTACCATTCACGGTAGCACAATTCAAAATACAACTTTCTTCCTCAACAAGACATTCTTTTCCCTTTCTACCTGCTTCTGTCTGGGTTGCGTCACAGCTGGCTTTAACAGCTGGGTGAAGTGGGTCATTGCCTACAGCTGGGGTTTTCAGGTCATGGGTGACACCAAAACATTTATGGGAAGGATCTCCCTTCGACTCCCGCTCATCATTTCTGGCGTCCAATGGCCCGGAACTTTGATCGAACGAATGTCCCTTCCTACTTCCATCTCTCTCATAGTAAAAACATTTAGTAACAAAATCAATAGTGATCCCATATTCCTTAGCGAATGATGAGCCTAAAATGGCCGAATTAATTAACTGTGGAGATATTAAGAAAATAGCCTCAAACCTATCCTCGCCTACAACAAATTCTATGAGCGCCTGCTTCTTAATCCTCTTTGTCCTCCTGCCAAATGCCGTGACTAGTGCTACATTTTCTAGCGGCAGCGTGGGCACAGCTATCCCTGCCCCTATCAGCCGATCATAAAGCTTCTCGGTCAAGATGTTCGCGTCGCTTCCTGTGTCTAAAAGGGCGCTAGCTGAAATGCCGTTCCCGAACGAAATGTTCACTTGCGGGCAGCAAGCTAAGTCGTTCTCATTTATGAAGAACAATATCAATCCCCCTATAGCCTCTGGTTCGATTCCCTCATCCAAAATTTCTGGGCCATTAACGTTTACTGCAGTCTTGCCCTGAACGCTTAGCCTGTGAGGTGGACCTGTCGGTTCGTTGTTTTTACTGGCGAGAGTCATTCGGTCCTCAACAACTCCCTGCTCTAGTTTCCCAAGTCCCCAGCGCGACGTTGTCCATCGGTGCCGGCGAAGGTGGGAGCGTGGGGGTTCAAGGAGTTCCCTGCCGCGGGGCGGCTGTTGACCGGCTCCGTATCCCTAGCGGACGATCCAAACCCCCCGCGTGTCTGGTGTCCCCGCCGGTTGTCATAGCGGCAGTAATCGTTCCGGCGGTCGTACTGTACTCGCCTTGCGTGATATTGGTTGGGGCGTGATCTTTCATATCCCCCACGGCTAGGTGGATTCCCTCTGGGAGTCGGATCGGGTTGGTGGGTTACCGGGTTCGAACCTCGGTATGACCCGTCCCCTTCCATCATCTCTACCCTTTTCAACAGGTCCAAGGTCTCCCCTACCGTACTCAGATGGGAGCCTATCATAGCCCTCTGGACCATTACTGGAAAGTGATGTCTGACCGCCTCAATTACTTCTGTGTCAGAGGGCCTGGGTTCCAAATAAGAGGCCATGGTAGCGTACTTTAGGAAATGGCTGGACAGAGATAAACCAGACCTGGGATTGAACCTGTCTTGATACAAACTGCAACGGACTAGGCTTTGCTTTGACTTTGACCAATAATTACCGGAAAATGCTACCTTAAATTGCTCATAGTCACTCAGGTTTCGGGCTACAGTGGCCACCCACTGTTTGCCTACAGCACCCACTATAGATTTGAATGCTAGCGATAGCTGGAGGGGCTTAGGCACACTCCTGAGCCTCATGAATTCATCCAGCTGATTTAGATGAAATATCGGGTTAACCTCCGAGCTATCGTCGAACTGAGGCAACGGGAAGTCAGCGCAACTCAAATAATTGTTCGCCGAGTGATGGCGTACAGGCTCTATAGTACTCTCACACACAGCAACCCCATTCACACACACAGAACATGAATTCGAATTACAACTGCATTGTACATTTTCTATTCTAGCCATATTAGCAGTGGGCGGTGGAGTGGGAGAGCCGTGAACAGCGTTCGTTACTTCCCTGATTTGTGTTACTTCTGTACCACGAGTCATGGGAGTCACTCCGGAAAGCTTGTCCTTCAGTTTATCAATCGCAGAATTTAATAGCTCGAACTTGCGTTCGTTTCCAAGTTTTTCGGTTTCTGCCGCTTTGTTTAGCTGTGCGGTGCTCTCCCCCTGCCGTTTTTCTAAGTCCTCTGCACGTTTTACCAGGTCGCCCTTTAATATTTCTATATCATTAGCCAGGTGAATTACCTGATCGCCAATTAAATCTACCTCCGTCCTGACTTCCAGAACTTTGCCGGAGAGTTCACCAGTCAACTCCTGGTTGCTCCGGGATTGCTGTTCCAGCCGGGTCTCGAACTCCGAACTGATTCCCTGAAGCTTCTCCTGCACCATTTGTAATTCCCTGTCCGTGTCACCCTGTAGTTGCCTAACCTGGCGAGACACTTTAGAAGTTTCGGCCTGAAGTTTCCTTGAAAATTCTTGGCTGAGTTTTTGATTATCTAGTCGAAACTGCTCTACCAGTTTCTCGTTTTCCCTCCGGATCTCCTCTCTCATCTGATCATTACTCTCCCTTAATTTCTCCTCTACTCTACTCTGCAGTTCCTTATTACTCTCCTTTAGTTTCTCCTCTAACTTACTGGCCAGTTCTTCGTTCCCAGTCTTCATCGATGCAATCATGCTGGCGAATAAGTCTTGTAAATAACTCGGTACAGCGGGGGAGTCGACTGCAATATTTTCACTCTGGGCTTGTATTGTCACTTCCATCGTGTTCCTAACCTGGTCTCCTAATTCATCCAGACTTTCTACTGCTACACTTGACCCCTCTATTTCGACACAATCCCCCTGGTCACATGACAGGTCTGCAGAAAATACCCCTGACATGTTCTCACTATCAGTCTGCTCCACTTCTGTAACCCGGTTCCGAAGCGTTCGGCTGGCCATGTGTGTCACTCGACTAACCTTGGTGTTACGTGTTCGATGTTGTTCTGTTGGGCGGCCCTCCGCGCTCTGGAAGCTAGGTTGCGACTCCGTCCGTTCTTCCTCTCGGCCCCTGCGGTGTGGTCCCTGACAGCTGCAGTGGCGGTCGTCTGCGCTGCTGTGGCGTTCGTAGGTAGGTCCGCTGTCCTTTCTTCACACTTTTGCGCTGGCGCTTAACCACTGATTTGTTTCCGCTGGCTCCTCGCTGCCTCTAGTCACCCTTGTCGCGATATCGGCCGTCGCGTTGGGCGCCACACTAACGTGTACCCCCAGCGAACGTAACTTTCAAAGTCTCCTTGCCAAGCACCCTCTGAATGGGAAATACTTGCCCTGGTTACTCAAAATTCGGGCAAAGGACCTCCCACTTCAGACGATGATTGGCTGGACCGGGCAGACTGGGAGGTTGCTTATCATTCTCCTCCAATTAGGAAAGCGAATCTCCACTAGTGTACAGTTTAGGGGTGAACTTTGCCACCTGCTGCGTGGCTGTCAAACTGAGATTTTGGGTTAGCAGGGAACGACGCTGCTAAATTTATGGCTTCCCCTGTCAAGTTTAGAATTTCTAAAGAACTCGGCCTTGTTACGCATTAAATTAACTGATTTGCGAAAGGGCAGCTGGCTTCAAGCTTGACCCAAGCCACTTGCTGCATGTCTCAAGGGGGAAAATTCCAAATTGTGAGGCGAAAGTGAGGAATTTCACAAAACCCTAACCATACACAAATATCAATTGACCTTCCCATAAACTGGACAGTTACAGTAGGTAAGCTTTATAGCTAAAATGTCAGATTAAGGATTGCAACATTTTTTTTATATATATTTTTTCTTTCTCTTAGGAGCTTGGGTAACTCAGTTGTTTTAGTGATGGGCTGCAGGCTGGACGGCCAGGGCCGAATTCCCAGCAGGGCCAAGAGATTTTTCTCTACTCCGTGGTGTCCAGACTGGCTGTGGGCAAAACTAGCCCCCTGCTCAAATGATTCTGGGCTGACCACTCACCTCCATGTAGTACTGAGGTCAAGAATTATGGAGCCATACTGCCACTCCCCCCTATGTCTTCATGGCATGGTGCTTAATTAATTAATCACTGGGACACCTTTACTTTTACTTGTACTTCCTTATTGTCTCATATACACAACATGTACGAGAAAGTATAGTTTATCTCAGGGGTTTGATGGATGCACAAGTTTTGAGCGTCCTGAATATGAAAAGTGGCTGTAACATTTGTGATATAAATTTCCCTAAATAGCACTGCATAGGTGTATCTTCAGGAAAATGAAATGTGCATGCAGATGTTCAGATACAGAGAGTGAATTTTGTTGAATCCAGCTTTACTGATGGGACATTTTTTCACTGAGGTTCAGTATTGAGTAACCGGCAGTGTTCAACTGAGCAATGGTCAAGGGAAGTTGCTTCTGAAGAAGCATGTATAGTATCTTTGCACCAGTTCTTCAGTAAGCAGAAATCTGTGCTATGCATAACAAATGTCATTACCATATTAGTGTGACAGATGGTGCTACTTCCACCTGTTGACAAGCTTTTTAATTTTTATTAAAGAGTATTAATGTAACGCAACTTGTACTCTTCTCCAGGTATAAATAGAATGATCAAGTTAACTCTTTGACTGGCGCGGGCATGTTTTAACGCCCGGACGATGCCAGTCGTTCCCTGGCGTTGGCGTGTTTTAACGCTTTGACAATCTCTTCCCTTCTTTGCTCTCTTGGCACTCATCAACCAAAGACATATATATGATAGTTTTTGCGCATGTTTATAAAGAACCCTTGTAAACTTTGTGGGGGTCTATATTACTGTCAGAACCCTCTGAGAAGGAAAAGGTCAGAAAATATTTCACATTCATTCAGTTTCACCATGGCTTCTTGCAGCAAGTGTCTTCGTGTTCCTACAGACCAGCTGGAAAATGTTGTGAACGAGATTTGTTCTGATGATGATAGTGGCGATGAAATAATGATTCCTGAATTGGATGAAGTTGATAGTGACAATAATACAGTGATAGACAATGATCCACAAGACAGTAATCATGAACATTTACCTACCACGAGTGCGGTGCCTGACACGCCCATCTCATGAACGTACGGAGAC